CAATAGCAGCAGGCAACTTTCCCTCCTGACTTTGGATCTGATAGCTTAGTAACTAAAGTCTTAAATCTTTAAAATTTGTATGCTCAATGCTTATTTTAGAGTGAGTTACTTGGGAACACATTAAATGATATGCAAAAAAATGGAAATTCAGTTTGCGACAATATATCAACTGTTGCAGGAGCCAAAACCCCTCTTCCAAAATCAACTTGGTGAAGATATCAGGTAAAGAAGAATGTTCAAATGAATAAGAATGAGAACCCAATGTTTTTAAATTGCTACATCTAAACTATAAAATTACTTAGAGATACAGCCAAGAAAGAAGTTTCAAGCACTGTAGAATTATTTGAAGTTATGCTTTTACTGCTTGGCTGGTAACTGAATTAACTTAGTTATGAAATGACCTCACTACTCAGAACATACTCGCTATAAGTAAATTAATTCAGGAGATGTCTCCACACATTACTTACTCCATGTTAAGCCTTACTTTAAAATTTCTTTTCCATAATGGTGTAACCCATAGACAATAACAATGTTTAAATGGAGTAAATCATTTATCATTTCCTTGGGATTATGGTAGATAGGGACCAGCTTTCCAGTTAGCAAAGCACAGGTGCATGCACCCCTATTTTCATGGCCATACCACAAACCTGCAACGGTGTCTTCTGTGCCCTCAGCCCTGTGCTGGCTTTACACACGGGTGAAGCAGGAAGGACACTGGATACACTCCTCTCACATGGAGAGAAAACCTGGTAAGAAATACAGAAGGAACTGGGAAGTTGTTCTACTGATTTACAGGATACGCTCATTGTACATAGCACCTGGGGAAGACCTGAGAGGATTCGTTCATTGAACAGTGTGGACTGGTGAGTGGGGAGCGAATACTCCCTGAAGAGAGAAGCAGGTGGAGGGCGCAGGCCAGAGAGGAGGCTGAGCAGGCGCTGTCCTGGCAGAGGGCGGGAACTGCAGTGACGGCAACGGCGAAAGTGTCCTGGCCGCCGGATTTGTGCTGGGTGGTGAGACCCTCGCTGGAGTGCCTGAGTTCAAACATGCAGTCGGAGCCTGGAGGGGTGGACGGTGAAGAAGATCGGCTGGGGAGATGGTGGCCATAGGGCCAGCTGTGCCAGTACCCCCGCTTCAGCGACATGCCTTTCGTGTGCCAAGTAGTAGAAACCCAAGCAGGCTTCAACATGAGAACTCCCAAGGAAGTGTGGGGTTGTAAACAGGAATTCCACTTACAGTGTCACAGTTCTGTGAAGATGAAAGACAACTGAAAGGCTGAGGAATAATCCAGGTGAAAGGCAAGGCTTGAAAAGGAGTAGCAGAGATGGGCAGAGAGGAAGGGGAGCTGTGGAGCTGGGTTTGCTGATGCACACATGTGTCCAGAGCTGCATGGAGGAGGAAGAGTCAGCGCACATGGGGCTGATGGGCAGACACGCAGAGGGCAGCAAGAGAACAGTTTTAGGAGTCAGGACAGCATGTACCATTGGGGTGGGGTTTACAGAATATCAGAGTGGGTGCACTGGGTATTTGGATGTCTTCAGTTTAAGAAGTTCGCTCTAATATAGGTGAAAATTAAAGTTGAACAAGTGTTGAGATGGCTCAGTCAGTGAGTGACAGGAGGAAAGGAAGATGGGACGCAGCTGTACACATCTCTGAAACAGACAAAGAAGAAGTGGAGCTGCTGAAGAAAAACTAGCGGCGTACACTGGAAGAAAAATCAAGTAAGAGAGGAGACAGGCGAGCAAAAATGTCAAATAGTGTTAGGGACTCTGGTTATACAATTTTTTAAAAATCTACTAGGTTCTCAGGAGGCTAAAGCAGGAGGATGGTAAGTGTGACCCTAGCAAGAACCTATCTCTACCTAAAAATTATAAAGGGTGGGCAAATAGCTCAGTAGAGCCTCCGACTTGAAGAAAAGGAAAATGTCTTGTAATGGGTACAACATTAGCAACCTTGTCAGGGCCCCTGGAGAACTTGGTCTTGATGGAAAGGAAGGAGAGTTAAGGAAATGGACATATAAACTTGGAAGGGCATTATTAGAAAAAGAGAGGACACTGAGAAAAGGGAAAGTAGAGTTGGTTACATTTTTATTTTTCATATTTTATCTTCCCTGTGTCATGTGAGTTTGTTTGGTCATTTGGCTGGTTGATTGCTTGTTTATTTATTAACAACGAAGGCAGGCAAAATGTGAAGAAGGTGCATTTCACTCTTATGTTTAAAGACCAGTGGAAGCCCTGTTCACCAGTTCACTTCCCATAGCTTATGTTAACAGACATCTGTGAGTATCTAGAACAGTCTTAAATGCAGTATTGTCACCTTGGGCTGGTCACTCGAGCTTTCTGAGTCTGCAGCTTATCTGTACAAAGTCCCTTTAAGTTACCAAAAAATATTAGAATGGATGAGCCAGGTGTGGTGGTGTACTCCTGTACTCTCAGCCCTCAGGAGGCTGAGACGGGAGGATCACTGTGAGTCCAAAGCCAGCCTGGGCTACACGGTGAGATCCTGTCTCAAAAAAAATTTTAAATGTATGGCAACATCCTACACCATAAAATCTTCTAAGAAGACCAAATAATAATAATAATAATAATAATAATAATAATGTGAGTACTTAATGACAACTTCAAGAGGAAAAAAATTCTACCATTCTTAACACACACAGTAGTAACTATTTCAATTCAAATAAGACCTAAGATCAAGGTTTCCTTTGTTAATGTTTGCTCTTTCTGAAACTGTAATGCTATGTAAAATTATTTGGCTAAAACAATAAAGGTAGCTAGGATGAATGCGTTATTTCAGGGGAACAGAGATGCTGAAAAATTCTGGAGCAAAATCTCAACCCTTGCGCTTTTAGGGAACTACAAAGCTGCCGCGATTTTCTCTGAGCGCAGTTTCCTTACACGACTTGATTTTTCTCCTGTAGCTTTATCTGCACACACATCTCGCTGCTTGGCCCTGAGGCTGGGCTGGGGGCTGGGTGGGGCTGGAGATCTCTCCTCTCTCCTCTCCGGGCCGCAGCTGCTGGCGCTGAGGGCGAAGTCTGGGCAGTGCGCGGGCGTCGCCGAGTGTCCCACCTCGGTGTTCAAAGGCGAAATGTCTGTTGAAGACTTACGCAACTTTTTTTTCTGTCATGGCTCCATTTTTATAGAAGATAGATTAGACAAAGCATTTAACTTTCAAGTATTTAATAATAGTAATATTAAAAATGAAGCCCTGGCACTATTAAAAATAGAACTAGCTAGCCACAATATAAAGGCACAGATTACGTGTGTACACGTGTGTGATGAATACAGGGCTCCACTGTAAGGAGTACATTTCGCTTCAGGAATGAAACACCTAAGGAATTTGTGAAGTGTTAATGGTGGTCTTAAGTCATGGGTCCATTTGGAATGCATTTGGCGGTCTTAGGCCTGTGAACTCTGTGCAGCATTGAAGGCTTCCTTCAATAACGAGAATAAAATGAGTCATGAAGAATCCACTCTTCCCGTCGGAAGGCCCATGTGCTGGACTTGCTTTCAGAGATGCGGGCATCCACGTCCTGGAGCACTGGTGTCCCCTCAACACCGGCTTTGCTGGCCTGGGAGCTCTAAGAGCCCTGAGAAAGGCCCTGAGCCGAGGACAGCGGCCAGCCCAGAGCAGGGCAGAGACCTGCCCGGCGGTCGGACCTCAGTGTCCAGCACCAGCCAGGTCGGACGGTGACGCCCGACAGCAACCAGCGGCACCGGGTGCTGGCCGAGTCGCCCCGTCCTCTGGCGACGTTGGGATGACTGGCAGAGCTGCGGGCCCATTCTTGATTTCCATCTGACCCCAGCAATAAACGCTCGCTGCCTGCCGCAACATGGGCTCCCCGCGCCGAACTGGAGGCGGGTGGGTGGGCTGAGCTGCTGCTCAGGACGACAGCTGCATCGGCAGGCCCGAGCCTCGGCTCACCAAGCTGCCTATATGAGCACGGCTGTTCCGCCCCTCGGGGCTTCCAAAGCTCGCTCACACGGTCTCCACGCGGGAGCAAGTCCTCGCCCGTAGCCACCGCCGCGTGCAGAAAAGGGGACTGCGGAGAGTGTGGCCCCGCATGAAGCCAGCGGGCAGCGCAGCTGGGCCTCGCCTGCCTGGGCACCGCTCTATGAACGGTGGCTTTGTCCCCGCGGGCCCAGCTCCCCTCCCTCTCAGACCGCGTCAGTCTCTGCCCTGGAAGTGTCCTCTCTTTTTAAACCTTCCTGCCTGAATATTTACCGTGTAAACATCCAAACAAAGCAGCAGCACCTATGAAAGCCTCCTCAGACGGTGCCGCTCGTCCCTGTGGCCGAGCCACGTTTGGCCATCGCAGAGTGGACGAGGCCTCGCTACACCGGACAGGGACCGGGAAACCCACGCAAAGCAGGAGCCACGCGGGCCAGGGATGCGCAGGAGTCGGCCTTGAGCGCTCAGCGCTCCCTCAGCAGCTGCGCACAGTCCTGGCGCCTTTCCACGGCCTTCAGAGTGGAAATCAGGATTGGACACGCGCTTAGCTGACGAGGGAGGGAGTGTAAGTACCACGTGCCGCGCGCGCTCGGGACAGCCCCATTCTACAATATTTGATTCCAATTCACTGTATTTAATTAGTGTAACAAATGAATAGATTAAGTATAGATTACTTATTAACAGTTCTTTTTTAAATTTTTAATTTTAATTTGATACAAGTAGATATTAATAAAGAAAACATAAAAAGCACTGTTCTATGAAAAAATAAAACTTCATAACAAAATATTAAAGAATAAAATGGTTAATATACTGTGTATCATGATCTTAAAAGAATGGCTAAAATGTTACTCAAGTACAAATAATTCCCCAAATCATCTGCTCCCTTGTTCAAAAGTATTTTAAGATATATGCTCATTTATTTCATTTACACTAATTTATGTTTGTTCACTGAGGAGAGAGTTCTGTCCTTCCATTTGTTTGTTTCTTTTTGTCTGTAACTTATACTCTGAGTAATAAATTTTTATAGCTACTAAAAGAGACTGTAAGGTGAGACGCAGGTTATCTTTATTAAAATTGTGCGCCACTCTCTTCCGGAGATGTAGGAAAATAAACTGAATTTCGGTAGCACGCACGATCCCAGGTGTTTCCGCCATGATATCAAGTTGTCCCTACTCCGGGGCACGTGTCACCTGAAAAGCACGGCCCTCAAGTCAGCTTCCGCGTGCAGCGGCACTAAGTGGTAAGCAGAACACTGACCTCTCTCCGAGACTTTTAAAAGCTGCCTGTCTCTGCTTCCCCGTGGCTCTGCTGTTCGAGCCCTGGAAAGTGGCCAGTGCCCCAGCGTGGGTCCAGCCCAGCTCACAGGCCGGCTTCCCTGGACCGGAGACAGAGGCTCTGAGCAGCCCATCCAGCTCCGCATCCGCCAGAGCTGCTCAGCAGCTGCGATGAACAAACTAGTCAAGGGGGAACCCAGAGCCCTGTCAGGCTCAGGAGTCTGGGAGTGTGCAGATGCGGGCTGGGGTCAGACCAGGAACTCGGGATGGCACAGAGAGGCCAGGTGGGAAGGCAGGACCCCTCAGAGCTGCTGCAAGCCTGGGGTGTTTGGAGTGCTTGTCTGAGGTGGCGGGCGTTCAGGGGTCCAGCACACTGAGGGATCTGCTACGGGCCAGTGCTTTCCACTGCCACCTGCCTGTTGCTCACATTCCTTGCTTGGGGTTTCACCAGGTTTTGCCTTTTGATGAAGAGAAATGGAGTCACTCTGCTCCCTTCTCTGACAGATTTTATACTCAAGACTGACCTGCTCCTCGATCTTGACTGCAAGGGACAGGACGTAGCCCCTCGTTGGAAAGATCCAGTGACATGGCCTTTTCTGTGCTTGCTTCTTCCAGGGTTCCTTCTGGTTCCTTAGTCAAAGCATCAGTGTCGACATCATCTTGCTGAGATCTGCCTTCACTGATAAATCTAATATTTAATAAACACAGTTAATAAGCAAATGGAAAAAGTGACATTTTTCTTAGGAAAGTAATACCTGACTGGACATTTTTTGCTATGTTGCTGCAAACCTGAAGTTCACAGATGAATGTGCACTCTACCTCCTATGTATTTGTTGGAAAAAGTAAAGGAAAAGTACTCTAGCACTATGCTGAATGGTCTAACAGTCACTGTTGCCCGTGTCCTGAAAAACAACTTGCTTAGGATTTAAAAGAAGTTGTTTAGATCAGGAGAGTGTGAGACAGAAGACAAGTGGCATGGGCAGGATATCTAATCCGTCAGAAGACGGGCCGCATCTCCAGTCTACAGCTGTGAGAGGGATCTCTTTGCAATCACGGGATCAGCCTTCTCCGAATGATCCCTCAGATCCCTTTGAAAGCCTTAGTTATACTCGGAGCGAAAAATCTGTCAGTTGGCAACAGTCTTGCAACTTTATTAGACATGGAGAGAAGAAGAAAGATGCAAGACAGCTTATGAGAAATTCGCCCAGGAGATGCAGTAAGGGGGCAGTTTGTGAAATGTCACACTTAGTGTAAGAACTGCAACCCCAAGGCCTGGGTCTGCTGACTGCCAGCGCGGCCCTGCCCTGCTGTGTGCTGTTGATCAGCCCGATTGACCCAGGGCAAGACCAGCACCTACTGACTGCATCGCTTCTGCAGCCCCTGAGTTTCTCTTGGAAAGTTTCCATCCCATGTAGCATATTGGGCCCCGATGTGTTTGTGAGAGTGACAGGACCAGGGCTGGGGCAGTGCAGCGGACCGTGGATACGTAAAAGCAGGCTGTTATTCTTTCAGTGGGTTCCATAAAAGGTGATTTAATCATCAGACTGGTCACCGACACGGGGTCAAATGAGATGCTTGCAGTTTAGCATTTCCTTGATGGTTTCCTGGCTGTACATGAACTCACCAATTTCCCATTAGGATTGATTTTTGTCACAAACCTTAACACTCAGTGTTCCCATAAATTTTTTTTAAAGTCCTGTGCAAGAGTGGAAAATGACAAACTGTTCAAGTTCTGTGTACAGGAAGTAAGAATAAAAGAAAGAATCACGTCCAGAACATAGGAAATCCATTAAACAGAATTAGCAGGATGTGCAATTCCTGTAATTTTGCTCCTTTGAGAGACAGGAGCTCAGAACTTGAGGAGAAATCTCTAATTCTCTGGGAGGTACTTTTACCTTTCCATTTGTATTTTAACGATTTGTCTTCTCACAGTATTTTCATTAGGCTTGACAAGATCAAGGTACTTAATTTGTACTTTATGAACTGAAGTAACAGGGATTTGGCACACAGTTTTCTTTCAAATGATATACTTTTAAATTAATTTGACACTTTCATTTTTCAGTCTTTACTCATTATGGAAAATGTCTAAGTTATTGTTTTCAAATACTCGGCATTCACTTTTTATAGAGGAGTAAGTTAAAAACTAAATGCAAAGAAAATCCTGCTTTTCTATTTCCTGGGGTTGGAGAAGGATGCAGAGGATCCTTCCAGTCGCTCTGGTTACCCGAGAGAGCACAGCAGGGCGGGACTGTCACAGCCCCTGGGAAGTCCCCAGTGGGGGTCAATCCAGGCAGCGGCTGCAGGGCCTCGCGGTCCGAAGAACCAGAAGCAAGGGATGCGCGCCCGAGGGACAGAGGCCTGCGTCCCACAGAGCCTCGGTTTCCACGGGAATCACATCCCCAGCCACAGCTCCTTCCTGCCACCCCTAGGCTGGTGTCTCTCCCAACAGCTGGCCCCCGAGCCAGGCCCAACTTTGCCGCCACTGCGGGACATGACAGGTAACCCTGGACGTGCTAAGGAGCCTGACGCAGGGCCACCGGTTTGGCTGCCACCTGGGGCTGGGTGAGAGAAGTGGGCAGGGGTGAAGAACGTCCTTCCACGTCAGCTTTCCGCAAGTGCGGCGGTCTTCAGTGCGCTTCGTGGGCAGGAGAGCAGACCGAGGATGAGGCTGGTGACTGAAGAATCCTGGGAGTCAGTCACTGACTCCCAGAGAGGAGGCGGCCTGCGTGTTGCGTTGCCATAGTGACGATGACCTGGCGTGACCGTGTCTCGCTTCATCACTGGCGCTCGGCCGTGTGCGTGTCCATGTCCGGGCGTGGCCATCCACGAGACCAGGGCAGCCTCTGCTGACGCCGGCGCCCCGGCAGGTGGGGTTTGGTTGCTGTTCTGTTTCGTGTTGGCCTCTTCTTTGCAGTGACTCGGATTTCTCTGCCCTGCCCCAAAGCCTGCCTGGGGACGCTGTCGCTTTCTGCTCGCCGGGACTGTGCTCTCCAGGCTGGTGCTGCTCGCAGGCCCGTTTCCCGTGCCGCGCACACAGAGGGGAGTGGGCCGGCTGCTGTCCTCCGCTCTGTCCCCTCTCGGCTCTTCCCGGGTGTCCTGCTCTCCAGACGTCTGCTGTCGATGCTCGCCCCTCGGTCAGCACTGCGAGCCAGCCTGGGACCACAGGGCCGTCCGGAACAAACGCCACGTTCGCGCTGTGCCAGTGTCATCGTCTCGGGCCCAGCCCAGCTCAGCAGAGCTCCCCTTGCGCCCTGCGGAGAGGCCCCTCCTCCCATGCTTCCCAGCTCAGCGTGCGAGTCAGGCCCAGCCGGAGCAGCTTGGGATGCTGGATGTCTCGCAGGAGGGCCCTGTCCACAGGAAGTCCTCAGCGACTCCCTGGGGGCGCCCGCCTCGCTGCTGTGCAGAGGGCATGGGTACTGCTTTCAGGTATTCCCACACAATACAGTGATTCTTTCCCTGCAAGACTTTAAGAACTGCCCACCTTTGTGCTTCAAGCTGAGACCTCAATATCTCCTTCTCTGTCCTTCTAGCTGCAATTTCTGAACCTTTATCTCTCGGATTCTTCAAATACTCCCTTAAGCCCTAAATCCTATCGCCATTCTCCAGATCTTTAGGGTTGGTGCTTCTCCGGACTGAATTTAAATTTGTACAGCGTCTCCTGGCGTTCCTCCATAGCTGAGTGGACCCTCCCCTCCACCCCGCTGCGAGCAGCCCCTCCGCATAGCTCATTGTGCCCTTGGTACAGCGTGGGAGTGGCTGGGAGGACGCTCTGCAACCGCCCTCTGACTCCGACTCCGACGGAAGGCCCCAGGATCCGACCAAAGGTAAGCGTCCTGGCACAGGGAGTTTTCCACAGGAAGCAGCACAGCCAGATCATTCTTCAGGAAGTGTGCAGCTCGACGCCCACCCCCAGATGCTCCGTTTCCACACAGCCTCCTGAGTCTCCACTCTCAAACAGAAGCAGGCAACTGGGGACGAGCAGAATAGGAGGGAATTGTCCAATGTGGACCGCCGTCAGTACTAAAGGAAAGGAACCCTTTGGAGTAAACAAAGTATGCAGGAAAAAGTGAATTTCGAGATCAGTCATGCGCATGCCTAGAGAGATTGTGTCACCATCCCTGGGTTCCAGGCCGGGGCCCAGGGCTGGCAGGAGGACGAGCGTCCTGGGACAGAGACCCGCGAGGGTCTGAGGCCTCCAGGCAGGGACGGCACACTCGTGGTCCCCAGGCCCTGTCCACACAGCTGCTGCAGGAGCCATGGGGCTGACAGCAGCACCTGTGCTGCCGTGGGAAGAGCTCAGCCCCTCCGGGGTCACACAGGAAGCTGGCATCGCTCCTGTCACACGGGCTCACCCAGCACCACACGTGTGTCCACGCCAGGCGCTTCAGGACCCCAGCCTCTGTGAAGAAGTCCTCCGGTCCAAGCCCATTCTCCCGAGACAACAGGGGCTGAGAGGTCAAATTCAGATGCCTTTCCCAACAGAAACTAAAAGCTATGGGAAAAAACAGAGCATTAGTAAAGCAGCATTCAGTTAAGAAAGGAAAATGAGAGGAATATTCTAAGGTTTCAACCTCTAAGTAAGAGAAGCTCCATAAAGGAAACTGCTCCACTGCTGGTGGGAGTGCAGACTGGTGCAACCACTGTGGAAATTAGTATGGAGACACCTCACAGAACTAGATTAGAGGTCCCATTGGACCCAGCTATTCCTCTTCTGAGTATGTTCCCAAAAGAATTGAAAGCATCATACCACAGCGATATATGCACACCCGTGTTTACAGCAGCACAGTTTGTAATAGCTAAAGCTTGGAAACAGCCCAAATAACCATCAACTGGAGACTGGATAAAGAAAATGTGGTTTTTAAAATAAAGTGGTGCACTACTCAACCAGAAAGATAAGATAAACTACAGACATTTGTAGCTAAATGGATGCACCTTGAGGCCATACTTTTAAGTGAATTAAATAGGGCTGATGTGTAAACACCAAATAGTTTCTCTGGTGTGAGAAACTGAAAGTGTAAATGAGCACCGAAATGTGTAATGGACATTGTGAAACAGGAAGAAAAGGTTCAAAGAGGAAAGAGCACGGGGTGGGGGTGGGGGGGTGGGATGAAAAAAGAAGGAAAAAATGAAAACAAAGCTTTTGTAAATAGGGAGGGGTGGAGGCGTAGAAGGGAGGGAAAGGTAATGGGGAAAAATAAGAAGACATTTCATGTACAGGTATAAATTCCCAATGAAGAACGTGATCATAATGTATACCTAAAATGCACCAATAAACTTAATGAATAAAGAAAGGAGTACATGTTTTACTGCTTAACGGTAACTAAAAGACATTTTCTCACATTGAAACCCCTATCAAATGCCAACACAGTGACCAAAAATGTGGTCCCAGTAATGTAAACCACTGTAAAATTTTGAAACTGTTGGAAATAGAGACAATTCTGCCTTCTTCTATTGAGAGAAAGATAATTTGTGCAAAGAATCAAAAGTCACTGTAGTTTCTGACTCTTTAACACTGGATGCTAACAGACATTGAAGCAATATATTTATCATTCTAGAAGAAAATTTATACATGTAGACATGGTATATGAACATATTAAATGTACATTATTATATGTGTAAAATAAAAATGAATTAGTCAGCTTTGCCATTGCTAGACAGAATGCCCAATACCCACAACCTAAAAGCAGAGAGGTTTAATTTGTCTCATGGTCGGGAGATGCAGTTCATGGTCGTCTGGCTCCAAGGCAAGAACACCATGGCGGGAGTGCACATGCAGCAGAGCTGCTCAGTTCCCAGCTGGGAAGCGGAACAGGGGAACAGCCCTGAGAGAAGGGGCGAGGGACCAGATGGGTAACACGAAATCACACCTGCATGAGCCAGCCCAACATGCTCAGGGGTGTGCTCCACTAACCTGCTAGGTGTTTCTTGACCCAGGGTGGTTGGTATCTCAGGACTGATGGTCACAGTAGCCAACAGAAAGCATTAAATAAATACCCAATTAAACTGAATTCCCAAGCACTCTGCATATTTAGTTTTTATTACTATCATTCCCACATCGGATGATGACAAATGGAACATATGGGCAGAAAGTGCAGTGTAAACTGACATTTTCTGTGGAGAATTATTATGTAGTCTATCTGTATTTTATGAAAAATTACTATTATCTTAAAAACCTCATAGTAACCCCAATATTTCAATGAAAGAAATGTGGAGAAGTGATTAAAGTGAGCATTACTAAAAACCAGAAACTAGAGACATTTATAGCTAAATGGATGCACATTGAAGTGATACTCTTAAGTGAAATAAATAGGACACACATGTGTAAGTATGGAATAGTTTCTCTAGTGTGAGAAACTGAAAGTGTAAATAAGGACTAAAAGGTGTAATAGATAATGTGACATAGGAAGAAAAGGGGCAAAGGGGAGATGGAAGTGGGAGGGGTAGGGGAAGGGAAAGAAGGGAATGAAATTAATATGAGAAAAGAAAAAAATGGAAACAAAGTCATTGTAAATAGGGAAGGGTGGAGGGGTGAAGGGCGCACAGGAAATGGGGAAAAAATAAGAACCAAGATACAGCATGTACAGGTAAAAGCACCCAGTGATAAATGTAGACGTATTGTATACCTAAAATGTACCAATAAAAGAATTAAGCAAAAAAAACCCCAAACAACAACAACAACAACAAAGCCAGAAACAACTTGTTTAATTTCCTTAAAGGTTATTTGAAACAACTTTTTCCAAACCATTTCTCACTCTGGGTGGGTCGAGGTTTTCCCCACAAGGGCAGCACGCGCTCGGGACCCTGTGCACTGAGACGGTGGCTTGCGGTTAGGGTCCGTGCCAAGCTCTCAAGAGTTCTACCTCAGCAGCGCCAGCCTAACCATGAGTAACTCGAAAACTGCTCCCAACTTGAGGGAAAGGTAAGGAATGAACATTAACCTGCGTATTTCTTTCCTGGACAGTTTATTTCTCCCCCAGAGATTTCCTGAAGTTAAATTTGTCTGGCTTAAGCAAAACAGACATGTAGATTCTAAGTTATGATCAAATTTATGATATTACAGTTATATTTTATATACTATATTTGCATTGGGATAGCACAATTCTTTTAGAATTTAAAGGGTATTACATATTTTTCCACGGTTTATTTTTTTCAAAAACTGTCTTGGTAAAAATGACCCATGTTGACCATATTGAATTATTTAAGTCAATTTCCTGCGTTCTAGGGCTGTGGAGCACATAGATACTCAATTTATAAACTGTTCGTGGTTATTTGACATTTCTAGAAAGTTTCTTATCATTAAGGTGGGGTGACAGCCCTATAAACAAGTTTCTTGTAGTTTTACAGATTTGTTAAAATGTGACTACTTCCTAACTGCCTTGTATGGTAGAAACCAATATTTTCCAGGATGTTGTGTTTCACTCCTGTAAGGATATTTTCTTTATTGTCACATTCATAATGCTGACACTTACATGTAAGTTGTCCATGTTGCAGAAAACAGAAGCTATACCTACCGTAGAATCCCTTTAATATTTTACAGTTAAACTGTGGCTCTTATTTCTGATGTGGAAAGCCACTTTGTTCTTTCACTGTACATAGACACATCGTCTCTTTAAGATGCTGCTGAAATTGTAGGGAATGTGGCCAAAACAGTAATGAACAATGACAGTTAAAAGGTAAAAAAAAAAAAATTGCCTTGGCTTTTAAATTACAGTTAAAAAACTAAATGCCCAGAGCAAA